GATACTACAACTTCATGGGCAACTGCACCTACACAATGGTCAAGAATTGCCATGTTGATAAAGACCACCCAACTTTTGAGGTTGATGCTCAGAATGATAAACTTACTGGTGAAAAGGTCACATATGTCGGCAAGGTGATCATTAAGGTCTATGGGTACACTATGACCATTGTACGATCAGAGTTTGGCCTTGTCAGGGTAAGTAAAGTCTTTCAGTAAACTGGACTATTTGTGGAATCTGTGAGGAAATATTATTTATTCAAAAATATCTGTGAATATTTTTTAGATGAACCACACATTGTGGAATCTCCCGATCAACCTGAGCAATGGCAAGGTGAAGTTATCCCAGAGCGGCCTGTCTGTCATTGTTGAGACAGACTTTGGCCTGACTGTGCAGTATGACTGGAAGGAGTATCTTGTCATCACAGTGCCAGGGAGCTTTTCTGGCAAAGTGTGTGGCCTGTGTGGCAACTTCAACAGCAAAAAGGAGGATGACTTGGTGACTCCTACTGGCTCACAGATCAACAGCGTAACGGCCCTGGGCAAGAGCTGGAGAGTTCCTGATGTGCCAGAGGATGCTCAGTGTCGAGATGAATGCTCGGGCGAGTGTGAGACCTGTGATAACGACAGCTTTTTTGACAGCGTGGCTGACAGGTTGTTCTGCAGTGTGCTCACTCGCATCATGGATGGACCGCTCAGTAGCTGTAACGCTGTCATCGACCCCAAATTCTTTCATGAGATGTGTTTGTATGATGTGTGCATGGGTGAGGGGATGAAGAACTTCCTGTGTAACACCTTGCAGGTGTACGCCGATGCCTGCCAGAGGGCTGGCATCAAAATCCATGACTGGAGGCACTTTGCTAGTTGCTGTGAGTATCTCCATTGAAAAGAGTTTGATAAACTAGCTGTTTTTGAGTTTCATTCTCATTCTGTGATGGTAACATGTTGTGATTTTGTCTGAAATAGCTCCACCCTCATGCCCAGAGAACAGCCATTATGAGTTCTGTGGGAATGCCTGCCCTGCCACCTGTGAAAACCCAGATGCTGCCACAAAGTGCAACAAAAGCTGCATGGAGACCTGTGTTTGTGATGAGGGCTTCCTGCTTAGCGGCACAGAGTGTGTCCCTAAGGCCCAGTGTGGCTGCTTGTACGAAGGCCACTACGTAGAGGCTGGAGCCTCTTTCTTTGTTGATGACCTCTGTACAGAGAAGTGCACATGCAACCAAACCACCAAGAAAGTTGATTGTAAGAAACCAGGTTGTCACCAAGGGAATGAGTGCAAGGTGGTTGATGGCCTTATCGGATGTCACCCGATAGCCTACGCTGAGTGCAGCATGACCAGTGGCCCTCATTTGGAGACCTTTGATGGGCATGACTACAACTTCCAGGGCACCTGTGTGTATCAACTGGCTGGAGTCTGTTCAAAAGATCCTTCCCTGCAAAAGTTTGAAGTTTCTGTGCAAAATGATGCCAATGGAAAAAGAGTTGGCTCTGGTGCAAAGCTGGTGGAGGTCAAAGTTTATGACTATGTGATTGTTGTCACAAGAAAGCACAAAGGTTCAGTCCTGGTGAGACACATTCTAGCAAATGTATCATACTATTATTGATCTTTTTCATCTTTTTACTGATAAAATATGTCCAGTCTTGAATTAAACAATCTTGTTTTGCAGATAAATGGAGAACTTATCAACTTACCTGTCAACCACCTAAGCAATATCACAGTCTACCAAATTTGGTGACTTTGCTGAGATCAAGACTAAATTTGGGTTGCAAGTCTCCTATGACTGGGGTGAGATAGTACATGTTAAAGTTCCCGGTACATATGCTGATTCAATGTGTGGTCTGTGTGGCAATTACAATCACAACCCCAAAGATGACCTACAGTTGAAGAATGGCACACAGGCATCGTCTGCAGAGGAACTAGGAAAAAGTTGGAGGGTTGCCGAGATCCCAGGCTGTGTTGATGGTTGCAAGAACAAGGACAACTGTCCCAACTGTGACATAACCCAGAAAGAGAAATATGAAACAGATAAGTACTGCGGTTTATTACGAAACCCCACAGGCCCCTTCAGTGACTGCCATTCCCTCAAAAGTCCTGAAGGAATCTTTAAGAGTTGCGTGTATGATGTGTGCCTTTACAATGGCAAGGAAGGCTCCTGGTGTTCCCATCTCCGCAGTTACACTATAGAATGCCAAAAGAGAGGAGTCAATGTGTCCCAGTGGAGGACAGACCACTTCTGTCCCATATCTAAGATTAGGATTCCTGACAACAGTCACTATGAACACTGTGGCAATGTTTGCCATGCAACCTGTGCCACCGGGTTACCTCCCACTGGCTGCAAGAGGCCCTGCCAGGAGGGATGGGTTTGTAATCGTGACTACCTACTCAGTAATCACAAGTGTGTGCCTTTTGACCAGTGTGGTTGCATACACAAAAAACAGTATTATAGGAAGGGCCAGAGTTTCCTGTCATCAGACTGTCATCAGAACTGCACCTGCAATGGCACGGTAAGCTTTATATACATTGGCATTTCAGATACCTAATACATTTTACTCTACGGTTCTTCTAAAAATGTCACTGTTACTGTAGGTGACATGTGAGGCGCATTCTTGTGGGCCATTTGAGAAGTTGTGCACTGAACAAGAACATTCGATCATGTCAACCAGTGGGAAATGGAACCTGCACAGTCTCGGGTGACCCACATTACAAAACCTTTGACAACAAACACTATGACTTCCAAGGCACGTGCACCTATACCGCCGCCAAATCGTGCCATCTGGAAGGCTCGCGGCTCAAAACCTTCTCTGTGGTGGTGGAGAATGAGAAGTGGACAGATACAGACGAGCCAAATGTGTCTGTAGCCAAGCTTGTTGCTGTGGAGGTGTATGGCTACACCCTGGTCCTCCGAAAGAACCAACTTAAAACAATCATGGTTAGTAATATTGTTTAGAAACAGTTCATTCATTTACAATCCCTCTATTCATTGATTTTTAATCCTAACTTTCTACTGCCCCTTTTTTTCTCTATGCTCCAATAACGGTTGAGCAAGCCTCACTGAGAACCTCGGCCAACTTTCCCCCGATACCTGAATTTGGATAACTGCCGATACCAATATTGAAACCAGTATTATTGTTAGTAGTAGCTGTAGTAATAGTGTAACCTGTTGTTTAATGTCTACAATAAACTGTCGATGGCGCACGACAATAAATGGTGTAAGCCCATATACCTTACCTTTAACCTGGCAGCCGAACACTCATCAGTAGGTTCATATAATTATATGCACAGGCAGCCCTAGAGACAGTTTGCAGTGACACTATATATGTCACTTTTATCTTTTAACCGTCTTCAAAATTTGTTTTTCTTTTCTACATAGACGAGCCTAGCATGTAGCATATCTAAGTAAAGGAAAGTAAAAAGTTGACCGTGGCTTGCTCAACTGTAATTCAACAGGGCAAAAAAGGGGCAGGAAGAGTAAAAAAAACAGTGATAAAATCTTTTTCTTTGTGTTCTCCAGGTGAATGACAAATTGACAACCATTCCACTTAACATTAATGAGGGACAAGTGGAAGTCTTCCAAGAGGGCTTTCACTATGCTATCATAACTGACTTTGGCTTGAATGTGACCTATGATATGGTCTATAGAGTCACAGTCACCGTTCCTGGAAACTACAATGGAAAAACCTGTGGTCTGTGTGGCAATTTCAATAACAACAAGACAGATGAGTTTGAGCTACCTGATAGAAGTATGACCAAGGACATCAAGACCTTTGGAGCAGCCTGGAAAGTGGCCGTGCCTGGGTTGGTCTGTGAAGATGGCTGCGAAGGCGATCAGTGCCCTAAATGTGACAGCACAAAAAAGGAAATCTTTGAGAAAGATTGTGGAATTATCAAAAACACTAATGGTGTCTTTGCTGCCTGCCACAATCGACTAAGTCCTGAGTCGTACTACAGAGACTGTGTCTATGACGTCTGCATGTCTAAGGGAGACAAAAAAGTTCTCTGCCACAGCATCTCAGCGTACGTGACTGACTGTCAGACCATTGGAGTACAAATCGAAAACTGGAGGACACCTGCTTTCTGCCGTAAGTATTGCTTTGCAATCTTGTCTGATGCAAAACGACTCATATATTTGTCTGCAGCTATGCCACTTTTTAACACAGATCTGATGCACCAGTTCATCTTCATGTGCTTTCTTTTGTAGCCGTTCAGTGTCCTGAAAACAGTCACTACCAGATCTGCTCTGAAACCTGTGCCTCTCCGTGTCCTGGTCTCACGGACATCATCACGTGCCCCACCACGTGTGCTGAGGGCTGTGCCTGTAATAAAGGCTTCTACTACAATGGGACTGGCTGCGTTGCCCTGGAGGAGTGCAGTTGTTACTACAATGGAAGTACCTATAAGGTGAATTAGCCCTCAGTTATCAGTTTGACAGCAGTTGTATGCTACACCGCCAATCATTGTTGCAATGGCAAACAAGTCAGCAAACTTGGTTTCCACCAACTCCTGAGGAAGATATCTTGCTCCTTTTTGAAAGATCTGCAAATATAAAGGTGTTCCAGATCTGTGTGCTAGATTATATCGATTCATATAGCATTTTGAAATTAAAGTAATGGAAACCAATCGATCAAAAAACTACCAGAAGATGCCTAAAACCTGGTATGTAAGTACAGTATAAAGCATATGTCAAATTTGCAGCTAATGGACTCAAACAACATACCTTTGATTTATGCTTTGTATACAAGCATGGAATTATGTTTACACCAACTAAATATGCACAGTATCAGAGGTCTACCTGAAAACAAATTCCTCTTATATTTTATTCACTGTCAGTGAAAAATGCTTTTTCAATTTTAATGTCCGACCAGTGTAAAATGTATGTATAATAATAATATAATATTAGCTCAGTACTATGCTCAGACTAATGCTGTTAATTGCTTTACTCGGTTTAGATTGGTGAGTCTGTGATATCTGCCAACTGCCAAAGGCGCTGCAACTGTACAACATCTGGTGAAATCAAGTGTGAGGACTTTTCATGCAGTGCTGCCGAGAACTGCCAGCTCGAGAACGGTACACGTGGCTGCCATCCCAAACAATGTAGGATGGAGACCGGAGGCTCCATTACTCTTTTCAGTGGCACGACCGGCACTATCCCTGTCATGGGGGCTTATGAGATCATCACACACTGCGACGAATTGGCGGCTGACTGGTTCAGGGTTGTGGCCAAACTCCAAGAATGCACTCCAACTGCCGTGAAGAGCGTTGTTGCTGTTTATATCTTCTTTAATGACCTGAGTGTCACTGTTACTGACAAACAGGAGACCTGGGTGAGTTTATTTTTCTTAAAGGAATATTTCAACATTTTGGGAATATACCAAAGGTGGGATGTGGGTAGTACTGTTAAAATTGGTAAAAGAAAGGATATGTGATTATTCGTTCTAAAAAATCACATAGGTACGACCTATTTGATTATCTGTTTTAGTGCATTATGTCCATAAACCAATACATAACTATGACGTCTACTAACCAAACGATGTGAACCTCTCTAATGCTGCTCAAGCTCAACTCAGTTAAAAAAGTTATATTCTTCATTACTTCGGAAAGTTACATTACAATATTCCCCAAATTGTTGAATATATATATAATGTGAAATCTACCAGATGTCCCTGTTATCTGAACAACCTCACATTAAACAATAAAATCTGAATCTGATGCTTTTAACAGGTCAATGGTAAAAAGGTGACTCACTCCAACCTGCCTGGAAATAATATCTTCATGAGACGCACTGACAAAACCATTGTTATCGAGACGTCACACTTCGAGCTGTCTTACAGCAACACCCAGGAGCTCATTGTAACTGTGAGTGACAACATGGCAGGGAAGGTGTGCGGAGCATGTGGCACACTCCTCCCCTTCAGAGACACCAAGGATTTCTTGCAGGAAACAATGCAGGAGTACATGGGCTCGTATTCTGCAGATGACTTCCCTTCCTGGTGAGTAGGATACATGCTGATCCCATCAGCATCTGCTTTAATTTAGATGCTTTTCTCGGAATACTTCGCTGTGATTATCAACATATTTGGGTTCTCATGAAACAGTAAACACCTGAATGAAGAAATGGTTTCTGAAAACTGTTACAATATGAGGTCTTGTGGATCTTCAAATACAATGTGAAAAATAACTACAACAAATTTAACACAATTTAATTAATTTTGCTTTTTTTGCAGTGAGTTGTGAAAGAAAGATCATCTTCTCAACACCCAGAGATCAACTCAACAGTATCATAAGCTGCAGAAAATTCCACAATCAGTACTGAAAGCTTTACTTGAAATATGGTGTTAGTGTTTATTACTGACCTTAAAGTCCCCCTCCGCAAAAAAATATGTTTTTCTTCTTGGATGTTTGAGCTTCACTGTGCAGAGTCCAAAGGATGTTTTTACATGTGATGGGAAGTCCAATATGCAACTTACAGTATACAAGTGTAGAAACCATTGATAATGGACTTTACAGTGAAGTGACATCTTGTGTCCAGTAGGAAAACTTTAGAAATTAACACAATTTGCATATTCATAGATTCTGGTAATAATAATAATGAGGTAGAAGGAGTAGATGCCTTTTTTAATGTGGAAATTATGCTTTGCAGAAATAATCAGATACATTATTGTTCCAAACTGATTATTTGTATGTATGTCTAAATATGTCTGGAGGAAATCTTTAAGCTTTTAATGAAATGGGTTTGTATAATAATATATATAATATTAATAATCAATAAACTTCATGTTCAAAAGTGACGAAAATTTTGTCTCTTGGTTTATTTCTTGGAGGTTCAGACAAGCAAATGCAGTTTGTATGTAAATGCATCCAATAAACTGAATTGATTGAACTAAAATATCTTCAATCCATGTCCTTTTGTTCAGGCATCCATTCACACAATATATCTGTTCATATTTGTAGGAAAATCTCCATCTTCGCTTGTAGTTGTGCTGTCATACAGCATTATATAGACTTGTTTAACTCTTGCAGTCTAAGTTGGTTTGGTGAGAGTACTTTCATGCATTCATTAGAACCATTAAATGAATATGGAAGACATTTCTTTGGTCATTTACATCTCCTGAATATAAAATACTTTTACATTTTTGTCTTTCACTTTTATGTTCTGACAGAACATTTCACTGGTCAATTTTGAGAAAGAAGACACCCAAAAATACACAATTAGCTGTTTATTTTACTACACATTGTCTATTTGCATCTGCAGATTTCTCCTAATTAACCTTACTAGGCAGCTAGATTCACAAGATGACAAGATTCACTTCTGTACTTTTTGCACTAAATTCCCTGTGCTGCTGTGTCTGACTTGAATTTCTTTCACAGGGATCAATAAAGAAACATCTTATCTTATCTTAAGATCATCTTGCCAGGCTACAAGCTATGCAAGTGTGTCCAAACTCAGTGGTTACACACCGATCAGCTTCCTAAGAGCAACTACTGGCATGAGCTACAGGTGTGGTTAAACACTAGGTGTGTGTGTGACGTTTGAGAAGGGACTATTGACTCAACAAAAACAGTGGCGGCCACTAAAAAGGGTTAGCATAGCATTAGGTAGCATCAGTTATATCAGAGCTGGAGAGTGTTTCTTATCTGTAGAGCAAAGAACTGCACTGAAGTAATAGTGAGGTAATAGTTTGACAATAATGTATGTAGGTTAATCTGATTGGATGAAGTTTGTTTGTGATAGACATGATAGACAGATGGCCCCCTAATCGCCTCACTTTCCCTTTTCCAATGACAACTTTCCAGATATTTCTGTGTAACAAACGAGCTGGTGCAGGTTAACAAAAGTTAACAAGATTATGACTCATTTGCATATTCAAATGTCAAATTTCAGAAAACCTTTAAAACAAAAATAATTGTCTTCATGTAAGTAATCAACTGGGGAAGGCTTGTGGTGATATATATTAGTTACCCTATTCACATGTGGTGTCCAGCTGAAACAAATAATGAAAAAATGTATATTTTCCTTTATTACCCAATAAGTTCTGTATGTGATATATTGTATAATGACCAAAACAAACCATATGTGTGGGCCATATTTATTTGCGTAACATCAGTACTGTATAGACAGACAGTCTCATTGACTAATGATAACTGTACTTTTAGTAGAAAGTAATTGAACCACTCATCTCTTTTTTAATTGTAACTTTATAGACAGATTTTTGTCTGATTTTATTTTCAACATTATAAACATAATTTTAGGCTTTCTCTTAAAGGTGTCATAATATATTTTGAATGTAAAGACCCCAAAATTGAGTTTACTGTAAATATAATTGTATTATTCACAAATTTGAAAAGAGTATTAATGTCTTCTCTTTTTCTTTATGACTTTATGTGTTTATAAACTCTATCTATCTAAATATCTGCATCTATCTTGTCATAATAACAACTTTGGTTTTTTATTAAAGGAACAATCTGTGATTTCGGATGGACTTAAAATAAAAGTTATGGTGCTACAGCAGCTTAATGCAATGGTTGGATGGGGGAAGACAGCTACACATAAGAGACAGACGTCAAACAAACTGTTTATTGACCACACGGTAAAATGCATACTATTATTACTATTCTGAATGCTTGATATGCTATTTATTTCCAATTATAATAGCATTAACATATATGTTGATGCACTTATTACATTTGATTGACAAGACAAACATATTTAGCAGATGTTTGACAGTTGAAACATACCAAGGAATGGAATTTACATGGATATGGGATTCTCTATAACATATACATAATTCCATGAATTAAAGAAACTGTCAGTTATTGGTTCGGAAAGCTTGATCACTGCAGTCGATAAAAAGCTGTCTGGCCGTACATTTATACACCACTGAAAAAGAAAGAGAAAAATAATTTGTCAAAACATGAAGTTGACATTTCTGTTGATGAAAATAAGTGTAAATATATAGTAATGATATCATCTGCATATAAGAGTAAAATAGTAAAATCCCCAAAAGCATTATACATATTATATATGCATATACGTTATATGTGCCGTTTGGTGTCCTAGACCTTTGTATGACTTGGCCAGAAAATTTAGACACGATCAGGTGAACAATTTACATACAATCTAATGTTCTCCATTAAGAAAATGTATAGAAAATGTATTGTGTTTTATTGTGACAATATCATCTTCTTGTGATAACTGGTGCAGTTCATAGTGTTGAGGTCAGATCTTTTACATGTTGGAGCAAAAAAGCAGAAAAAGCAGGATTTGCAGATGTGCAGATCCTACACATGGAGACTTGCTCAGATTAAGGAGCTTCGATGCAAATTTGAGCAACATTGCCTATTTCTGGCTCTTTTTTGTGGCATTAACAGTCATTATTTGGAGGTAATTTATGTGACTTACCATTGGGGGAAATCAGGAGCCGTCCATTGCCCGATGTTCAGTGATGCAAAGGCAGTACTCTTCCCACGAAGATTTAGTTGTGTTGTGTCAATAGGCTTGAGCTTACCACATGCCCCACATACCATGTCGGCTACTTGGTCACTGACACTCATGGCGAGTACATTTGCTGAACTAAAGGACAACTGAAGGCCAGAAGTGCTGCTAATTCCCACTGCATTATCTGAAACCTTCACTTCGACACTGTTCTGGGAAACATTGGTTTGAGTCATCGCCCTTCCATTTATCTGTGAACACAGATTGAACCCTTTATAGTAATAAATTCATTGTTTAAGGTTAAATAAAATAAAATGATAACTTACCCAGACGCCATGTTTGTTGTTGATTGTGATCATCACTTCATTGAAGAACACAGACACAGATACAATTGTGTTGACACCAGGAGTGCACATCTCTAACTTCACCACCACCCTGAACCAGTCTGTTGTGAGAGATTGGTCACAGTTCTGGATAATCTCATACGCTCCTGGCACTGTTACGGTTCCACCTTCACCATTAAATGGAGTGAGGGTCCCATTGGCGTCTAAAAAGCACTGCTGAATGTAGCAGCCCATCACGCCGTTCTTGACCATGCAGCTCTCATTGGGATCACATGTCATGTTCTTGGACAGAACTAGTCCACTAGATTGGCAGGTGTGAATCTTGTGGCAATCATCAGTTATGATGGACTGTCCAACCTGCAAATGACAAAATAGGTGGTTAGTTAGTATCCTGTGTGCAAGACCAAATATGGTTCAGTGACAGTGTATCACATAGTGGTTGTCCATACAGGCATCAGCGAGCCAGAGAGAGCAACAGAGCTGTATTTTATATAATAACTCTATAACTAAAAGGCTGTGATTGTGCTGATGATTTCTTAGCTAATATTGTGTTCAAGAAAGTACTTTATAGTGATAGTATATTATGTATAATTGAAGGAAATCCAGAATTTATGTCTCCATCATTTTCCAAAACACCCTTGAGAGAGAACCAGGGATATATACTAAAAGTTTCATGGCAATCCATCCAGTAGTTTTTGAGATAATTCAGTGTGACCAAACTGCCCCAGCAGCAGCTTTACTTTGTCAAATCTTTCCATAATACATTAATAATATATTATCTTCTCACTTTGTAAGTTTGGCCATTGTAATAACAGCTGCACTGGTCAAAGGGCACACAGCCGGTTCCATTGTAGAAGTAGCCTTTATCACAGGCACAGCCCTCAGCACAAGTCGTGGTGCATGTGAGGGTGTCAAGGAGACCAGGACATGAGGATGTACAAGGCAGCGTACAGATTTCATAATGGCTGCTGGCACCACATGTAAAAGCTGTGAACACATAATGGGACATTGGAGTTGTTTTTTTTGTAGTAAATGCAAACAAATGTTTAACAGATGTGGAGGTGGATATTACAGTGTACAGTATATATTAAAAAACATGCAGACTCACGGCAGAAAGAAGGACTTCTCCAGTTCTGAATCTTTGCACCAAAGTTTTGGCAGTCTAACATATATGCAGCAACACTGTGACACAGCATGCTTTGATCATTTTTAGCCATGCAAACATCATAGACACAATCTCTGAAGTAGGAGGCAGGATCAATTAGATTATGGCAAGCAGCAAAGGGGCCGTTGGCTTTGATTATAATTGCGCATTTTTCCTCTATTGCATCTTTTTCAGAATCAGCACATTTAGGGCAGAGGTCGCCACTGCAGCCATCTTCACAGACCGCTCCAGGAACGGGTACTTTCCACGCTGCTCCAAAGGCCTGGAAGTCCTTGGTAATGTTTCCATCTGGCAGCTGGAACTCATCTGTTTTGTCATTGTTAAAATTGCCACACAGACCACAGGTTCTGCCCCTGTAGTTGCCGGGGACACTGACAGTAACATGATAGACCAGATCATATGTGACCCTCAGGCCAAAGTCTGTCATAATGACATAATTTGCTCCCTCCTGATAAACCTTCACTGCACCGTTGTTGAGGTTTTGTGGAAGATTATGTAGGACCCCGTTTATCTGCAGAGAGAAAATGTATTTGTTTTGATTGTTCTTGATTATTTCTTCTAATTAGTTACTGTTTGCTATAATTATACATGCAGTAGCTACGGAGCAACATTAGCATTCAACTGTAGTTGTGTTTTTGCCACCTGGTAAGTCCAATATTCACTTTGTTTTAGCTCTGTTTTTGATCTTGACCAACTCCTGAGGCAAATATCTGGCTCTTTAGCTGCTAAATGTTGTACTGCGTTCACCAGCTAGTCTTTAACTGTGTCTGTCTGCTGTTTGGTGCTCAGTAGTTAGTGCACAGTGGGATTTTAGAGCTTTTTTGCTGAAAACAACTGCCTGTTGCAGCTCAAAATGATACTATAAGAGCAGTGAGAGTGAACCAAAACTATAGCTAAACAATAATAAACAGTGATAATTCTTTGTAGGTTCATTGCCACAAGCAGTTTTCACATTGTGAGTGTAACATTTCGATTCATTATGAATCATATAGCTGCTTTAAACAATGAAGATATTAGTGACATACCCAAACCATTTGAGCTTCATTCTTGCGAAGGATCAAGATGGTTCCATAAACTTCTACTGCTACAAGTTTGGCCACTGAGACCTTGGGATTCGCAGATAAACCATACCACTTCTCATTCTCCACCGCCACAGAGAAGTCGACGAGCCGTGTGCCGCTCAGGTGGCAGCCTTCAGCTACGATGTAGGTGCAAGTGCCTTGAAAGTCATAGGTGGTGTTGTCAAAGGTGTTGTAATGTGGATCTCCGGAGATGGAACAGACCCCTTTTCCCAAAGGCTGACATGATCGCACGTAATCATTCATCTCACACTTCTCATACGGACCACAAGAGGACTGCTTACACTGTACCTAATATGAAAGACATACTTGCTTGATTGTGATGAAAAGGCTCAATTCATCCACACACACACACACACACACACACACACACACACACACACACACACACACACACACAATATTTTTCTAATTTTAAGGATAGGTTTTCTTTCATTTTTAAAGGCCAGAAGGAACAAGAGGAATGATAACAGTAAGCAAAACCTCTTGTCTGTATTCATATGGGTTCCTGTTTTTAGATGACCCCAGTGGAATCGAGCCATGCAGATAGTTTTGGTTGTATATGCTGTCAGTTTTAACCTTTGTGATTTCTGCAACCATCACTCCATTTGGTGGCAAATGGGCATGAATTGAATATAATAAGTGTTGCTCAAAGCATGTTCTATAATGTAATGTGATTGTATGTTGCCATGTTTCCACTTGATGTCTGTTGAGCATGTGTTTGTTTTAATTGCTTGCATCATAATGTACATGCTGCTTGCCTTGAGCTTTTTATCCTCTATGTTCAGCCCCTTCTTGTTTCACCTGGTTCCTCCTGATATAATTATACATGTTGCTTGTTTTATTGCCTTAAGGCTAACACTGGCACATGTACAGTACTGACCAATGTCATTCTGGTTAAAATAGATTGACAGGTCTGTGGATGCTCTTGAGTAACTAGTCAAGAAGAAAAACCTAATTGCATGTCTGGATACCACTAGAGTATTTAATAATGTGTGATTTGGGTGAAGTGACATTTTAATTTAGAATGCAACATCATGCCAAGCGAGTAAAGTAAAAGACAATTATGAGTGCTCAAAATGCATTCCCATTGCTTCACACAGATCCTAGAAAAGACAACTCCTTACTGTGCCATTACAGGTGCATTCCTTCTGGCAAAGGGCATCAGGGTAGAAGATCTGTCCATTCTGGTAGTATCTGCCTTCAAACATGCAGCCACACTGGTTGGCAGGCACACACTCATCCCCACTCAAAAGGTAACCCTCATCACAGACAAATCCTTCCATGCACTGCTGAGCTCCACAGTTTGGATCTATCTGACATGATCCGAGGCAGCCGCTCGTACAGAGCTCATAATGGCTGTTTGATGGACACTGGGCATCTAGGGACAAGAGGATCAAACTTATGGTTCAAGAAACTCACAAGAATTTCTTGTGTCTGACTTGATAGATAGTAGATGTCCTTACCACAGAACTGAGCTGACCTCCAGGGGTATACTGTGGCACCTTTCAGCTGACAGGCGGCTGTGTAGGCAGTCAAAGTCTTGCACTGCATGTTGTTGCTGCCCTGGTATAGACAGACATCATACAGGCAGTCATTAAGGAAACCTGTGGGGTCGACCACGGAGTGGCAGTCACGAAACGGGCCTGCAGGGTCGCTGATGAGGCCACAGTAACTGCTGCTGCTGTTGTACGTTGCTCTCTGAGTGGAGTTACAGCCGGGGCAAGGGCCGCTGCAGCCGTCTACACAGCCAGGGATTGTGGCGACCTTCCAGCTTTGACCGAGCTGCTCGGAAGTGGTGGCTTGTTTCCCGTTTCTCATCTGCATGTCGTCTTTTGGGTTGAGGTTGTAATTGCCACAGAGACCTTGCATAGTGCCCATGTAAGTACTGGGAACGATGACAAATGCTACGCTGTTCCAGTCGTAGTACACCTTCACTCCAAAGTCTGTCTCAATTACAGCAAACCAACCGCTGGTGTAAAGATGGAGTTTATTGTTGTCGAGCATCAAAGGGAGGTTGGAGAGCACGCCATTGATCTAGAGAGAATAATTGAATAGAAAAAGGTTTATAAAGTAATTTGTACATTTAATGATGAATACATAATACAGAAGTTGATGTATGTAGAGCTGCAACCATTATTTCGCTGTTATTCAGTTTGACAGGAAATTTATTGGAACCAAATTTGCTACTCTAATAAATGCCTTCATGTGATTAGCTTCTTACTTCAAGCAATCAATCAATTAAAATATTTAAATAATCTGCCCAGTAATTGATTATGAAAACAACAATCGTTACAGCCGTTGCAGCCTTACAGTTATTATCTTTTTTTGCAAAATATGTTACCACAACAGCGCCAGGATGCTCTTTGCTGGTGATAATGGTGTACCCGTACACATTGACTTCTACCAGCTTGACAACGGACCCAATCCTCTTATCTTGACCATTGTTCTGCAACACAACACTAAAATGTTCCAGGCTGGTTTGATTGGAGACGGCAGCCATCTGATATGCACAAGTGCCCTGTAAGTTGTACCGCTGCCCATCAAAAGTCACAAAATGTGGGTCACCAGATACCATACACGTGGCGTAGTTGACAGGATTGCAACCTCTGATCCCCTCCACCACCTGGCACTGCTGCCCAGCAGGACAGCTAGTCTGCTTGTAAGACAAACTTCCACCAGCGGAGCATGTGTAGCGTTTGGTGCAACTCTCACCGCCCCAGAAAGAGGCTCCAGGTTCCACATAGTGACCCTCGTACACACAACCACACTGAGCCTTGGGGACACACTTGGTGCCACTGAGCACAAAGCCGCCATCACAGACACACGTCTCCACACAGGTGGCGTTGCATTTTGTGGGAGGGTTTTGGTTTGCACATGTAGCAGGACAGCCACTTCCACAGAACTCATAATGGCTGTTTGCTGGGCACTTGGGTGTAGCTGTGTAGACAAAGAGGAGATAGAGTCTAGTATTGAGAACTTTTACTTAAGTTACGATGCTAATACCACTCTGTGAAAATACTTTGGTTCAAGTTAAAAATTCTAATAGTAGCTGTCAATAGTCCAAAAATTATTAAAAATAAATTAAGAAGTAGCAAATTCCCATATTTGTGAAGCTGGAACCAGGAGATGTTGGAACAAAACATCATATTTTATAAGCTCCTATTATGTTTTGTATTTGGGAACCCTAATTTGTAAACAAACTGACGATAAATCTGTAAAATAATGGTAGTAAAGTAAAAAGTACACTATTTTCCGCTGAGATGTAATGAAGTAGAAAAATAAAGTGGCATGATAATAAAAAAGACTTAAATGTAATTAGTTATTTTCTACCACTGCATTTCATGTATTTATGCTTTTTAAACTTTGGATTACTCACGGCATTGAGTGGAAGTCCTCCAGCTGGGGACTTTGACCCCAGTCCTCTGGCAGATGTCAGCAAACCCTTGAAGACTGTTGCAAAGATACGTGTTCACAGCTTCGCCCCTACAAAGGTCAAACATGCAGTTGCTCTGAAAGACGCCAGCGTCAATTACAGGTTGACAACCTAAGAGTTCAGCAAAATTTTGTATAAGGGCACCGCAAAAGATTTGTTTTTCTAATTTCTGAACTTCGCTGAGAGGACAGCTTTCACACTGGCCAACACATTCATCTTGGCAAAAGGCATCGTCTGTGGTGCCGGGAACCCTCCAGCTCTCTCCCAGCGCTGCCACACTGCTGGCTACTGAACCACTGGGAGTCGTGAGATCATCTTCCTTTTTGTTGTTGAAGTTGCCACACAGGCCACACACACTGCCAGCAAAACTGCCCGGCACTTGGATGAAGAGATACTCGTTCCAGTCGTACTGGACGGTCAGGCCAAAGTCTGTCTCTATGACGACATACAGGCCTTTCTGGAACAGCTTCACCTGGCCGTTGTTCAAGTTGATCGGGAGATTCCATTGTTGATAGTTCACCTATTAATAAATCAAATTTCACTCACACAGCACATTTTATACAACAACTTATTTGAACACATAGAGAGAACAAAGTCACATCACATGGGAATCATCAACAAAGATGTTTTCAATGCGGTTTGCTTCTTTTTTTGTTTGTTAGATAGACTGATTTATCAAAAACGTATTATTATTATTATTTTATTGAAATGTAGTGCAATGTTAGTCCAGGCAAGGAACAAGTGATCAGTTGGTGGTGCAGACAGGGCTGTAGCCAGACTCTTAGAAATACTGACGTCTCTTGAACGCACCCCAGAAAAGACATTTTTACCAGAAACCAAGAAGATGGTCTTTAAATTTGTTTCAATTAGTGAAAATGAAAGTGTTTCAAAGCTTTCTCCACTCTACCATAAAATAAAATAAGTTCTTTACTTATTTATGATTGTCTTAACATATTGGGTCTAAAAAGTTTAACTCTTTTTAAATCAGCGATCCAAAAATAAAGTCTCCATAATCTCTCAATTATTTGGGTTTGAGTTTAAAAATACTTGAAACAACCAAGAAATCACCCTCCATGTATATAAAAAGCTCTTGCTTTAAACCAGATTCTCCTGTAAATGCATATAGGCTAGTCCTTTTGTAAAGATGATAATAGTCAGCATTCACACAATGTCAACACAAGAAAAATGACAGTACAAAACATAAATACTACTGACTGACTCACCCGCACAATGCCGAGTTCAGAACGAACTATATCAATGTTGATCCCGTAAACATTGATAGTGACCCTCCCTGCTGATGGGACCTGTAGGTTGCCCTCGTTCATGTTCTTTGTCTCCACTTCAAAGGCTGGGAGGGCGCGATCAACATGGCAGTTCTTGGCCATTGTGTAGGTGCAGTTGCCCATGAAGTTGTAATAATTGCCATCAAAGGTGTAGTGAAGGTTACCCATGACCCAGCAGATGCCGGACTTTGGAGTTAAAGTGGCGGGTCCTCCTCTGCTAAATCCTAAAAATAAAAAAGGGAAATTCAAGGTGACATTTTTTTATTTTTTAACCATTGATTTGCAGAGATCTTTGCATCTTTTTTCCCTATTGGATTAAAGTAAGTACAGCACACATCAAACAGAGATATAATATCAGTTACTGTTAAGATACGTTTCTACAAAGTCCTGCAAAATATGACCATGTATGTCCACAACTTAACATTCAATTATATACATTTCTGTCATTTTATTAAATGTATAACAAACCAAGTGTATTATCGACCTATTTGGATAATGTGAAAAGGGTAGTTTTCAATTACTTCAAGCCCTCAAAGATCCTAGTTTTCTCATGAACGTATTGTTTTATTTATAGCAGGATATTCATGTCCAAGCTGCTTTTCAACTCTGTGTTAACTCTCTTTAATATCTCATTGAAACATCACTCATTTATTAAATTAATTATTATTGTTTTACAAAGTAAGACTTGACAACTTACCACTCAGCAGAAGAGCTGAAAAGATCACAACAAACAACCCCATGTTTGTCACTGAACAGGACCTGATAGAGTTTTTCAAAATGGACAAAGTCAGGAAAATCATATGCTTTTTAACTTTTAGTCTTTTTAAGCTTATTAACCCATTACAGATTCATACTGTATACACATCTCCGCATATAGATGCTAAAATGAACCTGTAAACCTGTTTTTCTTATTTTTATCTCTTCTTTTACAGTAGAAAATTTAAATAGCCTACAAAAAGTTAAATGACAAGAGCATGGAATACAAAAATGTTTTCACATATCCACAGAAAAACATAACCAAGAAAGAAAACATAAGTTTACATACATAAGTGTGTGACCCAATTCTAATTGCATGAACAGCCTGGTACCACTATGCTTTAGGCAATTGTTTAAGTGGTCAAAGATATTAATTATTAAGATATTTAAATCATTCTCACCTGAGCTGGTCATCTGGCATTCAGGGGTTCAGGTGCAGGATTTAAGGATGCTTAAATACTTTCTAATCTCCACTAATGGACCAATCAGCTTCTAGGTGGCTTTTCCCAGAAGTGAACAAAAAACCGTGTCACATGACACAAATCTTTTCTGATGTGACAGGAAAAGAGACGTTAATGGACTCAAGTTAATTGTATTCAATATTTTACCAGGTCACAAAAGAGTTCATTTCAGCGAAAATAATGTGGTAAAGGGGTAAATAGAATATATATTTATAATACAGATCAATCTGTAAAGGCTCTTATTCCCAGTGTGACCTTTGTTATCTGATTCTTCCATATTTAAAGCCTGATTGTCTGCTGGCTTTGTGCCCATCGATTTGTCTGTACAATGTTAATGTGACACATTCAACAACTGTGATTTATTTGTTGACACAGTGGCTGTGTAGTCACCACCCACAAGAATAATTGGTGGGTGTGAGTTGTTCAAATGCACAATTCTAAAGCGCTCCCTCAATGCTATCGTGACTATATTCACAAGGATCAAGTGGAACTATTTTCTGCTGACCTGGGATCAGTGGACATATTGTGTTGGCGGTGTTGTTTCTTAATTGTATCACAGTTATGTTTTGTGTAAGGTGAAGAGATAAAGATTTTATCTGATCGTTTTATTTAATCTGCAGGAACACAGTGCAAAAGGTAAAAGTATCTTTGTTTGCACATTGTAGGATATACCGTAAATCAGTAGCAATTGTTGTAGTCATGCACAACAAACAGATATGCAAGTATTTGCTTCATACTTGTTGATCTTTCTCATAGATTGTTGTCCTGTGAAAACTACGTATCTCCAAAATGTCAGTTTTTAATGAGCAAAACAAAAAAAAAACAGCACAGTTTTCAGCTCTGACAATGTATTTTTCAAATAATCCAATGTTTATTTCACTTAATAAGTAGGAGGATGTTCTCAGCCTATAATGAAACACTTAATCCTGCATTTTTCATGAAAATTAGGAGCACAAAGTCATATTAATACCAACTACACCAGTCTTCTGAGTCTTGCCCAATTTGGTAAAAATGTATGATAAGTGAATTTGTACATTGAAATGGTTAGTTGACCTAAAAGGCCTCTCTGTCCTTGGCATAACTCATAACTAATGCATAACTTAGGAGCAGACTCTGGACTCATTATCTCCTGTCTGGAGATAATGATAAGATGTCGACCTTCCCGACGTTCCCGAGTGCCACAAACACTGTCTGCCACTTGTGTGGTGCAGGTGATATCTGAGTGAATGTAATGTTACTTCAGACCCTGTGTCCATTACAATCGACGTCACATGACAGGGGCTTCTTTTTTACTTTTTGCAACATTTAACACCACTTGAACCCTCAAGTCCATTGAATTGGACGTTTAACAACCAATCAAACGGCAGTATAGCTTTGCATGTTGATGTATGAAAAAAATCCACCACACGGAAGAGAGGCATGGCAGGGCTTCACCCCACATGTCGAGGTAAGGATCATTTTCAACAGTTTTACTTACATTTATAGATATCTGTGCCAAGATTTCATAGTTTTGATATAATATTAATAGATTATGAAAGAAAGAAGAATGTATGAATAGAAGTGTAATATCACGTGTTTCAGTGCAAGTTCTTACACAGGATTTTTTCAAATATCGCTGTCCATTAGAATGGACAGTGGGTTAGAAACCATGTTATTGAACTCAATTCGCCAGTGTTGATGAATGACCTTATTACTATAAAAACAGTACATCAGAACAAGAGAATGAGTTGATAATCAGTTGAAAATATTCCATATGCAAAAAAATAAATAAATAAAATTAATTAAAAATTAAAAAAATATATATTTTAAAACTGTTTGGACCTTACAAAAAAAACATCATTTGAACTGTTCAAGTTCATGTTCCATGTGGTGTCAATGTGACAATTATAAGACAATAAATCGGTATGATGTTGTCATATGATGTTGGTATTTTAACAATTGGTTGCATTAAGGATGGGAAAAAGTCATTATTATATTTTTCACAACCTTGGAACATAAGGTGGGTCTGAAGGGGTTAAAGTAGTCCAACTAAACCACAAAAACTTATGTACTTGGGCATGCTATTTAGTAGTGCTCCTGATTCAGGTCCAAATCTTTACATTTTAGTGCAAAGTATTTGAATTCTACATATTGTGCTGTAGGAATGCATAGTGACTGCCATCTACTGGTTGAAACATGGCTATTGTACTTGATTTTTGCTATTGGCTGATCTGGAGGCTGGAATTGTTTGTGGTGGCAGCCTTCATCATCAACCACAACAACTACCACTTTTGTTGGTATGCAAAAGAAAGATAATTAATATAAACTAGGTGATTTTGTGTCTGTGAAATCACTAAAGAAAGTTTGTCTTAGTTGGAAAAGACCAAACCAAGTGCTGCTAACTACGACTGTCCTAAAGGTGGAAGGAAAGCCAGAATGGCTTCATGCCTCAAGGTGCTGGAGTGATTCCTCCATGCAGCCCTGCTCCTCCCTGCCTTAGACAGGTGGAAGGAGGTGCTCAATGACGTGAGCGAATCATCAGGGTACACACAAGTGCTTAGACTATAGTACCTCTGAAAGACAACGCAAACATCACAGAGGACAATGAAACTCTTTGTCGGCCATTGGAATAAAATGCAAAGCGTAGGGAACACAGATATTATAATACTGCTGATATGGCTATCCAAACAATGGTGGACTGATATAGAAATCTGACTTACTGCTGTGTGTCAGCAACTGCCAACTTCAGTATAACTCTAATTCCATTCACCAAAGATGTCTGACAACTTTGATCCAACAACTACATGGTTCATGCTCAGTCTTATAATATCATACTGTATGGTAAAACCAGTCAATCTAAAATTCTTAGCTGCCAGTATACCCAAATTTATAGTCTCATGTTAACATGGAAGATCACAGCTAAACATTGACATATGGGACCTCTATAGCCTCTCTTTTACTGTGTGTGGGGAAACAGCTACTTCTCCACTGCACTAAAACCAGTAAGGCCAGTCAGAGTTGACAAAGGGGGACTGTAAATAATGTGGGCAGGGCTATAGGCAATATCTGCTTGCCAACATTGAAAAGTATAGCTACACCATTGATTCCCGAACTTCAGGACTCCCCCCAGGGGGCCACAAGATAAATCTTAAAGGTCACAAGAGGAGTAGGCTGATAGAACATTTCTGCTTCACAAAATGTACCCTTTTGTCTTGACTGGAAAAAGGAGAATTTTAACTCTTGAGGTAAATATTCTTAAAAAGACTATCTAAAGCTGCTATATGCCTCTCCAGCAGTAAACAGTTGGCTTTTCATCTATTTCTCTGAAAACAGCTCTCTGCTGAAGCTGGAAACGACACTAGGAAGGCAGTGAGAATGAACCAAAATAGTAAAGTTATGGGTTGAAACTCACTGTAAAGCTCCATAAAGCTGCACATTCAGATGATAATTCTCTGTAGGTTTACCACTATTACGGAAACCTTTGACATTGTCACACTGTCATTTAGACATTGTTATTAAAAAATGTATATAAATGTTTGCTGTTGGACAGAATCCCTGAGTCGTGGAAAAGGCTCTATGTCCTGAAGCACCGCAGCCTGGGAACTCTACCCATACTTTTACCAGTGTCACTGATTAGTTACAGGTGGCATCAATTGCTCCAATGAGCTATCAGCTTCTCTCTTTGGAAAACACAGTTCCTCTCTGCCTCGCAAAAAACTTGTACTCCAGCTATGCTGAATGTTAAACTTGTTGCTCAACCTGTTTGCAGTGTGAAACGCAACCAGTCTGTTGGTAAAGAGGGAGGAGGCAAAAGTGAGAAGAGACATTGGCAGAAATCAAGTGTCAGCCTGCACCTTTTGTCTCAGTGGTTGTCTGGGGAGGTTAAATCTGTGTGGCAAGTTAGAGGAACTGAAGGAATCAGGAAATAAAGTGAAAAGTATACACGGAAAGGTAAGTTGACATATGGCTCAGAAAGTAGGAAGTTAAGAGCTTAAGCTTAATAATTGCTTGACTGCACATTTCTGTCGACTGTGCTTCTAAAAAATATGTTTATGTCTCTCCCTTTTGTCTTTTTGTTTTCACCCTTTCTGCATTATAGCAGCCCAAACAGCATCAATGCGGTTTCATTGGATTGTGTTAGTTGTATCCACCTTGGTTTCCTTGGGACTGCTGTTGATTACTGTTGGCCAATATGAAGTGATCATATTGCTCAACAAGGGGAGTGAAAATCTGCAAATACAGTCGGTGGGTCTTAATAATCAATATATAAATGAAGACTTGTTTAAAGTGACGATGGAAAAGCTGCTGGTTCAGGGGACAAAAGTCGTGGAGGATCTGGAGGTCACAGTGGCAAAACTTAATCAAGAGATTGGGCAGAAGAAAAAAGAAATTGACATCTGTCAAGCAGAAAAGGTGAACAGTTTCCTTCTTTGCAATGTAACATGATCCCAGAGTGTGGCTCTTCAGCTATTCTGTGTGCTGTTCTTTTCACATTCAGTATGTAAATGATAGATATGATAAGTGGTAATTAGTTAATGACTAAGTACAGGAGGATGGATTGAAGTATAGGAAAACAAAGGATGATGCGGAGCAATGAGAAAGTGACGATCTGTTTGAGTCTATAATCATGAATACTAAGTTCACAAAGCTTTGGGGAAGTAATGGAAAGTAATTAAAAATTACTCAAGTACGGATTCAATTTTATGCCACTTTATACTTCCACTGCACTCTGCTTGAGAGGGAAATATTTAACTTTTTACTTCACTTCTACTTCTTAGGATTTAAAATAGTAATAAAAAACAAACAGTATTTACAATCTAATATTGATTGATATATCAGGCACAGGAGCCATTTTTCTGCAGAAGTAGTGCTTTCACATTGTTATTGATACTTTTACAGAAGAGTACTACTTCCTCTAACCTTGGGCGAACAACTCACTGTTGTTTAAGAGCCTGCATTCTAGTTTTACATCTGTGGTATTCTTTGTTTAACACGTATTACAGGTTATGCTGACATACATTTCTCCCACACTGCTGTAGAAAAAAACTGATGAGGAGCTGGCGGCCAGCACAGGGAAGGAAAGGAGTGAGACTGAAGGTACAACTGATATCTAGAGATCATTTATGCGCAACTGCCAGTGCCACCATGTGGTGAAATACAACAATTACTGTTTAGGTCTAAATGGTTATTTCTCTTTCTTTGTCACTAAGCTGCCTTAAAATCAGAGTCTGATGCCTGGACCCAAGAGATTAATACTCTGAGAGCACAACTGACGGGGTATAGACCAATATGTGATCATGTGAAGGAAGACCCACTCGCTCTGTAAGTAACAAAAAGTTTCTTGTCACAAAAAAACAAACATTTCAGCGTACATAGTGGAATAATAATTGTATGATTTTGTCTTTTAGGAAAATATGTGGCAACAAAACAACCTCCTGAAGTCAGCACAGGGAACAAATCTGAGAACAACTGTCGTTCCTGTTACTGCTGTATAAAGTGTTATTGATATGCTGTTGAGCTACACTGATAAGACAGCTGGGTTTTTACTAAAAATTGTGTTGATGTTCTCGGGGGTTTGTTTACCCTGGAACGTCTGGCACTTGTTTCCCTATATATCTGTGTTTTTTAGCTGTCAGAGGGCATATTTTGCATTTAGACAAATTACGGAAGAGAGACGAGTTGTTGATGAGCAACAAAGGTCCTCTGTCTAACTTGTAATGCGATTACATGATGCCCCTAGGCACAGCTCAACCTACCTTATCTGGTTTCACTGGAAACACTGTCATTGTGGCATTGGCTTATTTGTAGTATTTCATGAAGGCACTATACAGCAGTGATGCTAATGTATTATCAATAAATGTATATTACACTTTGAAAACCACATATCTCCAAACGTCAACTTTTCACGAGAAAAAAGAAACAACTGGTTTCAGACTTTATTTGACACCTTTCATGCAAGTAATTTGCAATTCAAAATTATCTACATGTGATTTCATAACAAAGCAAACAACTGTAGAATGAACATGAGAAAAATTAAGACTAGATAGTTTTCAGAAGAGTAAACAAATATTAAATACTGTAGTGCAATACAAAGGCAGTAAGAGTGAAGATGAGAGAAAAGGGTTTTAAGTTTTCAGGCTGGCTGACAAACTGTGAAACAGAGAGGTCGTATGCCTTCATTTTATAAGGCAACTACAGCAAATCACCTGAATTCTACTAGTCAAAAGCTTAGGAGGCAGTAAACGGACTAAATAAAATACCCACCTTGTGTTAGTTTCTTTGTAAATGGTAAAAGATAAACCCCCCACAGACTGCAAACACCCCAAATTCCCAGAAAAAATAGAAAAGCATAAGACCTCAGTGACCTCACTGACAACTGTAGCCCTGCAGGGTGCAAATGTCCCCATGCAGCTGGGTGGCAAACATTGATCACATTTCACATGCAAACATCATCGTAGGATATATGGATGGTTGAGCATTATCTGTTCAGCCAACTAAATGATCTGTACTGTGCTTAGCCAGTCATGGGTGGTGTTTAATGCGGGCAGGACTAAGCAGAAGTATTTTGTTAAGCAGGACTGAATGAAGCCGCCCGTGACAATTTAAAGCTTCCTTTCCCTTAATTATGCATAATTTTAAGTACTGACTTATATAGAGTTAATTCACCCCCTGTACAGTGGTCAGGAACAGAGAAATTAGCTAGAGAGACTGAAAACATTTTTTAAAAGTAGGCTGTGAACATGTTTGTTTCTACCATAAAGTTGGGCATTTTAATATGAGGCCTAATGGGGATTGACTTACTTCTGTAGGCAGTCTCAAGTGGCCGTTGGAGGCTGCAGTTTTTGTTACTTCAATGTTGGCTTCTTTTGACAGTCATTGAGGTTGCTGCTTATAATGTGTTGCTAACTGATGAGTTTTAGCAACTGCTAGATTGATTTTGTTATATTTGGACAGAGCCAAGCTAGTTGTTTCCAGCCTGTTTCCTCTCAGTTTTTACGCTAAGCTAAAGTACCCAGCTCATCCTGCAGTCCATTTTCTTGTTTGCATCCAGCTCATCCTGCAGTCCATTTTCTTGTTTGCATCCAAATCCCTAATGATATACAGAGCTCTATTTACGAAATCTTTAGTTAATTTTACTTAACTGATGAACTTTGATATCCAAAACCCTGAACTTTAGCAAGGAGCCGACTTTAGGAGTGACCCAGTAATTGTGACTGCGGCTTCTCAAGTGTGCCTGTTGAGAGTGTCTGAGTCACTGGTGTAAACCTGAACATGACACCTGCCACTTCAGAGAGTGCATGGCCGACAATAGTGAAATATAATATAGTACAGGGGTCTGTATAATGGAGACTGACCCGGTCACAGACAGGAAGATACCAGGAGAGAGCACATGTGGGCAGCACTGATCAACTTTACATATTTATATGTAGGATATGCGGTTGATGTAATCTACTGTATATATTTAATAAACATTAACAGACAAAAGTACAGTGATTATATAACACCATGGGGTTCTCCACCATCTGCTTTTAAGTTGCAACATGGACTAATTAAAAATGCATTAGCCTACAGGACTTCCCAAGTGGACTAACTGATTACATTTTCAAGCTACTGAACAAAACAAGTTTGACCTTTTTTCTTGTGTCTGCATACCAGAATCAGGTCAATCATCCAAAAATGTATGAGCCTGTGATCTCTAGTTTTAATCCCCAGATCCACAGAGTTGCTGGAAAAACCTGGATAGGGAAAGAGCAGGAGTGACACCACTGTAAGGACTCCTGTGAACCTCCAGCTTCAGCTGCACACCGTCGCTCAGATGGTGTGTAAAACTGTAAAGTGAAACATTGCCGGAAAGGAGCAACAGTGTCTCTTTTACACAGACAATATGAAGATGATATCCTCAATATCAAAGGGGGGGAAAGGTATTGCTTAAATGATATTAATGATGAGGAATTTATTGTCCCGGTAATTTATGAAGTGTGAAACATTTGATTTCCATGTTCTGAAATGTGAGGATTTGCAGCTTCTGTTTTAAAACATAAAATATAATTTAAATGACATAAAAATGTAATATATTTTGTCATCTTGGGCTCTGGGTATTTGTGATGGGCATTTTTCAATAAATTGTGACATTTTATAGACTAAACCAATGGTTCTCTGGTGGTGAGACACTGCAGCCGACCTAAAGTTGCATGAAAATGTTTAATGTCATAAAACAAACAAAAGTGCTTTGATGTTAGCAAGGTGGTTTTACTACCCTGAACCTTTTTGCCAATCAGTTTCGATAGATTCATTGATAATGAAAATAATTGTTAGTTGCAGTTACCTTTGCTCAATAGACTGCTCCCATGAAGTCACTGCTCCAGTCCATCACATGTACAACCACAAATTGTTGTTTTTTAACTTTTGTACAAAATAAAAAAATATATAATATGTTAATTAGTGAATTTAGAGGTACTGGTGGGCAGGGCTGTTTCTCCCTTTTTCCAGCCTTTAATGGTTGCTGGCTGCAGCTTAAAGGTCCCATGTTTAGGATTTAGTTGCAGATTGCAGCTCCCTCACTTCACCCCCCGTTTTAAGTGCTAAAGAGAAACTATGGTGGCTGTAAAACCAGCAAAAAATGCAAAATACCCCTATCTAGACCTTTAGAAGAAGAAGAAGAAGAAGAAGAAAAGAAGAAGAAGATATACTTTATTAATCCCCTAGGGGAAATTGTTCGTTTCACTCTTTTTATACACACACACACACACACACACACAGGCTGAAATACACACTTCATGCACTTGTGGACATGCAACAGGGAGAGAGATGGTGGAGAGGTGGGGCTGCGCGTTAGCACCGCCTCATGAGCACTTTCTTAGGCCTAATTAGTAGTGGTGTAAATTTCTCATCTAACTGTCAAGAAATTCTACCTATATATATACACATACACATATATATGGCTTTTATTGCCTTTAATTGACAGAGACAGCTGAAGATTGACAGGTTTATGGAATGTATTAGGTATAATTCATAAATAATATGACATTTGAAACTAAGATAGTTTTAATGGCACATTTATATTAGAAAGTGTTAGCTGTAATAAAAATAAGGTGTTTGTTAGGTCTTGAAAAATGTTGTTAATTAAAAAGTGCTTCTCAATTACTCTCTTAACTAATTAAGGGGGTTGAGTATTATCAGATTATGGCTAAGCCAAAGAGAAAAGACTGCAGTTGTATTTTACTGTATATTTCCTAGCAAATAAACGTGTCAATAAGCTTCTAGCAGGTGGTTTTTCCTCTGAAACGGGTTGACCAGTCGGCTTTATTCAATGTACTTTGGAGGATATCCGTCCTGGCTGCGCAACACGACCCGCAGCCGTATCATCGCCCCGGGACTCGTCCCACAGGAGGGAGGGCACTTCCATAGCAGGGAGGAGAGGAGGAGGAGAGGAGAGAGGTGAGTGGACGCAGTTATGCCAACAAGCCGATTATTGAAGGCTACTGAGCCTTCTCTGTCAATTTGCGTCCGTCCTCTCATGGTCAAACAGAGGAGGACACACTGTAGGCTGCATCTGAAGCTGAAGGTCTTATTTTTACGGGGAGCAGGCTTTATTAATCACAGGAAAATACTTTTTTTAATGGGCGCTGCAACTTTTTATGGATTTATATTGTGATAACTCGTGTGGGGAAAGCCATTGTTTCTTTTATATACTTGCAATATGTATGTTTACTCTGTAGAGAGCTAAAAGTGTCCTGGTACTTGATGGTATTTTGTAGGTGTCACTGTTTTAAAGTAAAGTAGCTGCATTGTATTTTTTTCATTTTTTTATTTTTAGGATAGTTATTTTTTGCAAAGGAAGTTAAAACTAAAACAATACATTCAATGGATATGCCAGCTGCTGTAAATTTTATTAGTAAGTGAGCATTACAATCAGGCCCCTGTAAGCCCAATCACAGGCACAGTAGAGCTTTAGTTTAAAGTGCAAGGTGTGAAAATGTCCAGCCTCTCCAGGAGTGCAGATGAGCAAAGAGGTATCAGTGAGAGCCCGGCTCACAAACCAGAGACACCCAAGTACCGCAGCTGGAGCGGCCTCCGCTTCTCAAGATGGAGAAGTGGCTCCCAGAGGACGACCCCCCCTGCCACCCCTTCCCCGAAGACAGACAAGAGGGCCGATGTGACCAAGACGCTCTTCTCCTTGGTCAAGACTCACAATGATGACTACACGGCGGATCCCGATGGACTGCTGGATACTAACATCGATGACGAAGGAGGCGAAGATGACACCCAAGAGGACCAGACCACCTGCTACCAGAAGCGGTTTGGATCCATGTTGCAGCCCGGGGTCAACAAGTTCTCCCTGCGCATGTTTGGCAGTCATAAGGGTGTTGCTGCTGAGCAGGCCAGGGTCAAGAGCTTTGGAGTGTGGATCATTCACCCCTACAGTGACTTCAGGTAATGATGATGAGGTTGGGTTATCCTCAGAATGTCCTGACCTCAGTTTCCTCTTAGTTTCAGAGCTGTTTGTGGGAGAAAATTGACTCCAGAAATGAGTTAGTAACCTTTTGCCAACACAAGATTCCCCTATTCGTCATTCATCTTTTATAAACTTTCCTTGAAAGCCTCCCGTTTTCGTGCAACCAAACAGCATGTGAGGGAGCTCAGATCCAATTTTTCCAAGGACAGACTGCAGTACAGCAGCTGATGACATGGTTCCTCGCACATGATAAGGCGATGAAGGGATTTGATTAGTGATACAGTATATAGGACAAGATCATCTGGATTAATGAAACCACTCGTGACTCCCTTCCTCCTTGGTTATGAGGAGGGAGGACTGCATTCATTGGTCCTGCTATTTTAAGCGTGTGTTTCATTTGAGAAACACCTGATAATTTCTTGCTCCAGTTTGGCTTCATTTATGAGGGATTTGACAGATCATTCAGCTTTTGGGGGCTTTTTTAAACAACATTTTAGCATTGATGCCCGGGTAATCGGTCTGTGCAGTCACTAATAATAATTTTCAAACATCAGGCCGATACCAGACAGAGAGGATAAACTAATAATAGTAGAATTTAAACAATTTTAAACATCAGGTCTATGCCAGACTGAGAAGATAAACCCATGTAGAGGGATTATTGCCCATAAGAATCCCTATAATTCCAATCTTGCTCTATTATGCAATAATACACAGACAGCTGAGGGGGGGATTACCGAAGGCCTGCTCTCCTTAAACCTTATGCTCCAACTTCCCCTTTATAATGGATGAGTTGGAACTGCACGTTTTTGGTGCTCAGCGGTCCCGTTTAGGGGTTACGGTCAAATAACTGGTCCTGTTTAGCATTTTGAATCCAATTTAAAATTGGTAAATAAGCACATTTGTACATCTAAGAGTGAAATGACTCTCTTATTGAACCTGAAGAACTATGGGAGAACGATTGGTCTGAACTACTGTGGTTGAACGCAATCGATACCTTGAAGTGTGGCAAGGTGAATTCTCACCTGATCTCACAATTCAGCGGCCTCATAGCGCTACAAAATATTATCATCCTGTGAAAAACATGAATGTCTGTACCAACTTTAAAGGCAATCCATTCAATTGTTGTTGAGACATTTCACACAAGACCATAAATGTGCTGGTGGCACTAGAGAAAAGGTCAGGGGCTCACCAAAGTCAGTAGGAGTCATCCTTTGAGGACCTTGAATGTTTCTATACATTTTCATGGCAATCTATCCAGTGGTTGTTGTTGTCATGGCTAAAAAGGACAGATAAATGGCAGGTAGTGGTTTATTTTAAGAGAAATTATATAACCAATCTGTCAAAACTTGAATTTTAGTTCTTTAAATGTCAGACTTTCGTAGGTATTTATAACTTTTTTTGCTTTGACTAAGCTACAAACTAAACTTAGTTGGTAAACAGAATCAATCCTGGATTCAGATTAAATATCAAATGCTATCAAACCACATTCCTGTTCCACCCCCCACTGTTATTAATAGCTTGTCTGAAAGGTTTTGATACAGCAGATTTAATTCTGCTTCACTCTCTCACACACTCATACTTGAGCACAGACACCTCACATAAGTAAACCGCTATAATGCTGTGCAGAGACTTTGGTGGAGTTATTAGCAGCAAGCAAGCAGTAATCTGTTGCAACATGAGAGGAGACGATAAGTAGTCATGTAAACCAGCGTGTAGACACAGAGGACATGGAAGCAAGAGATTGATGGAGGGATAAACATGAATGAAAATGAGGAACTAATCTATCAGTTCCTCTGCGGTGACTGGCGAAAGAAGAATGTTGTTTTCTCACAGGGTTCACATTGTGGTCACTGACAGGTGACGGTAATCAAAAATAGTCTGGTTCATATTCGGTTACTGTGCCTCTGTAGTGAAAGAAAGACAGAAAGACCCAGAGTGATTGACACTCGATGGAAACAATCTGTAAGGAAACCCAAACCGTGTAGCCATGGTGTATTACGAGACACTGGAGACCTATAGGAAAATGGGACTTGCATGACATGAAGCAGACAGTGATGAGTGCAGATGTACAGCACAGATGTCTGGGCTTCAACAAAGCAGCACACTGCCTGTCAGACATTTACAGTTTTTCCATGTTTTCTTTTCTTCATTGTCTTCTTCGATACAATATTGAGCCAGAGGAAGTAAACACTATACATTTTTGATGAGAGGGATTCCTCCTGTGACATTAGCTGTTATGAGAGTAAGGGACACTCTGAAATGGGTCATTCCCTGGATGACCCACTGTCTTCCTAATTGGATGACTTCTCTTGACCATGATAGCTGTTCTCTAACTTAAGGGTCCAGTGTTTGGGATTTAGTGGTATCTAGCGGTGAAGTTGCAGATTGCAACCATTTGAATACAGCTCAGCCTTCCGAGTGCGTATAAGAGAAACAACGGTGGCTGAGGAAAACGTGAAAGGACGTATCTTGAGCCAGTGTTTAGTTTGTCTCTTCTGGGCTACTGTAGAAACATGGCAGCCTCTATAAAAGATAACAGTGGTTCATTCAAAGATAGGGAAAACACAGTCCTTATTTTCAGGTGATTACACACTAATGAAAACATACCTATGGATATTATATTCCATGTCTGCCAATAGATCCTCCTAATTATTACACACTTTAATGTAATAGTTTGACACTTTGGGGAAATATGTGTAGTGCTGTTAGTATATAGATCAACATCACTCTCACTCTCTATAACTAGGAGGCAAATAGCTTTGTATAAGAAAGAAGAGATTATTTACAGAGACCCAACAATCCCCACCATGAGCAAGCACATGGTGACAGTGGCAAGGAAAAGGTTTATTTTAATCTGACACTATGTAAGATAGAAAATATTGTATTTTTAAGTATTAGACTTTTTTTAAATTTATCCAGGGAAACATTGCTGAGAGCAACCCCATTCACACTCACACACAGTTACATACATTCATACCTGGTTGTTGTAGTATGACCACAGTCTGACCTGTTGGCCACTGAGCAGCTCCATTAGGGGTTTCATCCTTACAGGTCTGGGAAGTGAAACCTTACTGTTTATTACTGAGCAGTGTGTGTCTATCTAGTGGATACTGTGATTATATAAAGATACACAGGAGCGGTTGCACCAAACTCAAATGATGTTTGGCTGACATCCTAACAATTAATTAATTCATGATGTGAACAGATTTTAACTATAAGCCTCATTCTACCTGCTGGGTCAGGGATTTAACCTTGGCAAAGCTCTCTGGGCCTCTTCCTAAACACTGAACCCAAAGAAGTTCGGATTACACGATTAACTTGACAACCAGCATTATTAGCAGGTTTCGCTCATATACGTGTATGCATATATGTAAGAGTAGAGGACTTGTTCCTGCAAATACAGTGCTTTGATATATTCATTATGTATTTCATGTATTTGATTTTTTTGTAAAGCTTGCACATTATTTATCACACATATAAAAAATATGTCCCTCCATGTTGGAGGTGGCCATTTATACAATTTTTAATTTTTTTTCTTTATTACACTTAGCTTTTGAATCTTTTAATATTATGCAGCAGTACATTTCTGTTAAACTGCAAAAAACAGGCTTGGTTAGAAAGTGTCCACCTCATTTACATACAGTAGATACTTCATTTTATTCAGAGTTTGTTTCCTCAGACAAAGAAGTGATCTGTTAGGACTGGAGACCACATCTATGGTGTTATATCCTGTTAAGTTAGCACCACACAAGGTTATAGACACTGGGTGTACAAATATGCAGTTGCATCTCAGTGTTGCTGTAGTAGATATAGTTGTACAGAGGAAAGAAATGCTCACACTCCTCTTCTGTCCAGGTTTTACTGGGACCTTGTGATGCTCCTGTTGATGATGAGCAATCTGGTCATTTTGCCCTGGGGTATCACCTTCTTTGAGGACCAAAACACCGCGCCCTGGATCACCTTTAACGTCCTGTCTGACACTCTCTTCCTCATGGATCTGGTTTTCAATTTCCGCACGGGCGTCCCTGGAGAAGACAGCCACATCATCCTGGACCCTAAAGAGATCCGCAAGAATTACCTCCGCACCTGGTTTCTTGTGGACTTTGTCTCCTCTATCCCCGTTGATTACATCTTCCTCATCGTCGACCTGGAGGCCCGGCACGAGTCGTCTGATGTGTACCGCACCGCCCGCGCCCTCCGCATCGTGCGCTTCACCAAGATCCTCAGTCTGCTGCGTCTGCTCCGACTGTCTCGCCTCATCCGCTACATTCACCAGTGGGAAGAGGTAAAGGATGGGAAGGAGGACAGAACACATCAGAAAATTCTACGTTCCCTATTCTTCTTTATGTCAGTTTAATGTTGTTTTCCTCTGTATAACTTTCTCTCTGTCAGATCTTCCACATGACTTATGACCTGGCCAGTGCTGTGGTGCGTATAGTCAACTTGATCGGCATGATGCTGCTGTTGTGCCATTGGGATGGCTGTCTGACCTTCATGGTACCTATGCTGCAAGACTTTCCCTCAGACTGCTGGGTATCCAAAAATAATATGGTGGTGAGTACGTGTTCATCAATACATACTCACATTCATGTCTTATATTTAAACTTAAATCCTTGTATACAGGGTTAATCTGTGTCCTAATTATGGGTCAAATATGTTTTTACTTAAATGAATACTCATTCATTATTTGCTCTGTTGCCAAAAATGAAATGAGAAGGTCGATACCAGGGTATCTATGAAGCTACCGCCAGCAGCCATTTAGTTTTTCTTATACTAGAAGATTTACTTTATTAATCAATGGGGACATTCTGTTTTCACTTGATTCTTTACACACATAGGCCCAAAATACAAAAACACAGGGCTTATAGATGCAAATGTGGAAAGATAATGGTGTGATGGGCTGTCACGTAGCAGTATGTGGTGCAGTGCCTTGCTCAAGAGCAGTGCCCAGGAGGAGAAATGTTAAATGTTAAAATGACGTAGACTGTACAGGATTTTATGGGCCAGACTATTTCCTGGATGGGCACAGTAACTTCTTGGATCTTCATTTAGTCATACCCAGACTAGCTCACAAAATGTTAAACTATTGTGCTTTTTAAAAAACTGTGTTTATTTCCTGATAATTAAATGTAAAAAAAATATTAGCTCCACTAATGCTGCACTCATGTGGCATTTCTTAGCCAATTAAATTGTGTTCATGTAAAGAATATTTTATCCTGACAACATTGCCATATCCTCCCCCTGTTTTTACTCTATCCTTCTCAGAATGCTACATGGCACTTACAGTACTCTTACGCCCTGTTTATGGCCATGAGTCACATGCTGTGTATTGGATATGGTGCCAACCCTCCTGAAGGCTTGACTGACGTTTGGCTCACCATGATCAGTATGGTTGTGGGGGCCACCTGCTACGCCATGTTCCTTGGTCATGCAACTACCCTGGTCCAGTCCTTGGATGCATCACACCGCCAGTATCAAGAGAAGGTAATCATCTCTGCACTGATTAGAGATGATTAACAAACTCAGTTGTTTTACCTTCCAGGAGCTTCACGTGGATGCTAATGTGATTCTGGCTGTGAGGTTTAATATCACACGCCATGTTTTATATCATAAGCTTGCTTACTTGCTCGTACTTTATTGGTGGAAATGCCTAGAGAATATGTGTATTATCTAATGGATTTTGTGGCCTTAACGTGACCCTTTCCAGGGGATTTTCACAAGATAAAGCAGAACGGATGATAGACAAATGGCAGCACCTTTGTCCTGGATCACTGTTTGCTAATGCCCATTACAAATGAGTTTGTAATCCACTTAAAACTGGGAAAAAACGGCTAAACAAATAGAATAAATGCATAATTATTGTGCTTAGGAATAATTTAGCAAACACATGGTAGGAAATGTGGCTAAATGTGACATCTGACATCAGCCCTGTTGAATTTCAATTGTAACCTCATGAAGGTCAAATCACCATGTGTTCTGTACAAATGTTTTCAGTATAAGCAAGTGGAGCAATACATGTCGTTCCATAAACTGCCAGCGGATGTAAGACAGAGGATCCATGATTATTACGAGCAGCGTTTCCAAGGCAAGATGTTTGATGAGGACAGTATCCTCGGAGAGCTCAGTGATCCACTCAAGGAGGTTTGTTATTCATTAAAGTCGCCCTCCATTACAGTTATATACACATATATACATACATACAGTTGACTAGTTTGACACTAAAAGTGTTTTCACATTCGTCTGATTAGTTTTTTGTCCATCTATTAATCAATTAATGATCAAATAGTTTCAGCTCTAAATCAATATTGATATGCTGCATCACAATACGGAAAATGTATGCAAAATAATATAAAGTAAGAGATTTTATGTTATTTTGCATTACATTAGCCAAAACCATAGGGGACTAACAATTCTTCTTTAAATTATTAGTTGATTTTTTCTCAATTATTGATGATGGTTAGTCGTTAAAAAGGAAAAAGAAAACCCATATTTTTCTAAAGCCAAAGGGCATCTTAAAATTCTGATTCAAAACCAATAGACGTCAACGATAACTATCAATAATTTATTTTCAACAATTTCGAGGATTTGCTGCTCCTTAGTCACTATTAGCAAACTGAAAATTTTTGTTGGCTGTGGACAAAACAAAAAAAATGTTGAAATGTCTTGTTTTGTAAAAAACACAAAAGCTTAAATTGTTGTGTTACGATCACATTTGACCAAGACAAACAGTAAATATTCACATTTGAGAGACGAAAATATGTAAAATCAAACCATTAAACAGTACAGTTGCCCATTAAATTCTTGTGTAACTAATCAGCAGACACCTCACACATGTAAAATAAAAGCTTTAATGTTTCATGTTGTTACCTTTTAAATAAACTGTGAACAGAAACATATATTATGACAGAATATAATAAAACAATAACACAGTATGTTCAAAACATCACAAAGAAATTTGATGAAAGCTCCCACATAAATTCTATGTCTATGTTAAATATTAAACCTCTCTTTCTCCCACCATGCAGGAGATTGTCAGCTATAACTGTCGTGGACTGGTAGCCAACATGCCACTGTTTGCCAACACCGACCCTCATTTTGTGACCGTGATCCTGACTAAGCTGCGTTTCGAAGTGTTTCAACCCGGAGACTTCATAATACGAGAAGGAACGCTGGGTCGGAAGATGTATTTCATCCAGCACGGCACCGTCACCGTCATCCCACGTGGCAGTAGGGAGATTACGCTCAACGATGGAGCATATTTTGGGGGTAAATCATTTCAACCTTCAAATAGTTTCCTATCAAATATTTAAGTATGTAAGGCTACAACTTTACATTATTTTAATTATCACTTGATTTGACAATAATTTATTTATTCGTTATATCGTTTTTCTAGAAATGTTAGAAAAAATTGTTTTGGATACACATATTAACTTTCTTACTGATACTTAGATGACAACATTAATACCACTCATATATCTGAGCACTAAATATGAAGCTACAGACAACAGCTGGTTAGCACAGCTTAGTGTCAAGACTGGAAACAGTGGGGAACAGCTAGCCTGGCTCTGTCCAAAGATAACAAAATACACATACAAAAACCACAGTGTAACAACAACAAGTTGTGGAGTTAAGGGGACTATTTCCTGGCAGGGCACAGTTGCTATGAGGTTGCCAGGCACCCAGTAGAGACTGGTAGTCTGAGCTAAGATAAGATAAGATAAACTAGCTGCTGGCTGTAGCTTTATATTTACCGTACAGACATGAGAGTGGTATCAATCATACATTTTGCATTTCATTGAACTATTGTTTTGAAGGTTAAACTGACTCTCTCGTCCTCTGTGCAGAGATCTGCCTGCTAACCCAAGGACGACGCACGGCCACCGTGAAGGCTGACACCTATTGTCGCCTTTACTCCCTGAGTGTGGACAGTTTCAACGAAGTCCTGGAGGAGCATCCGCTGATGAGGAGGGCATTTGAGAGTGTGGCTGTGGACCGACTGGGCCGTGTCGCTCGCAGACCCAGCTATCAGCCTCCCCAATTCGAGTGACGTCCTCGGGACCACCAGAGAGAGACTCTGGCCAGAAATGTGGAGGATATTTGTCACACTTTGGCTGAACTTGACCACAAAACAAAGAAACCTTCAAAGTAAATGTTCTTGCTGTTTAGTGCTCAGCGATGGACAACCTGATGGAGACCCTCAGTTTTATTTATGAACATATTATTGCTGCACTTGGTTGAAAATGTTGTACCTTCAGTTTAACTTTGTTACTTGAATTTAAATACATGAACAATTTTGTGTTGGCCCTTTGTACACTATTCATGTAAGATCCATTGTGTCATTTTTGCTGATCTATTTGCTTTTAAACCAAGGGCAGCACCAGCTCTTATAAATGGAAATGCTGCTTTATCAATCATTTTCAGCAACCTGTATGCTTTCTGAGACGCTTTCAATATCCATCACATCATTCATACGAGATATTGGAAGCACACAGGAGCACCAGCTGGGCAATTCAACATACAAGATACAGCTGATTCAAATTATCCCTCAGGTCTGCATCAGGGTTTAATACTGATGTTCACTGAGGATAAGCTGCTGTGATGTAATAACAGTACAGAGAGCGAATGTACACAGTTATACATCAACGTTTAAATTGCTACAATTCATGATCCTTACACCTGGAGTTCGAAGACCAATTGAAGAATCTACCTTTGCATCTTTACAATTTAGTATCCAGTATTATTATGAGTACTTTTTAATTTATTTTCTTTAGTTAGTTTTATCTGTTTTAATTTATGTTGGCAATTCATTTGCAAACATACCTTTGGCTTTTAAAAAAATGCTTGTGATAATAAACCTCCGGTAGGTAAATTAGTGGCAGATAATAATGAAGAATTAAATTTCTGCATAAACATGATTTATTTGGACAAATACAACAATGCAGACTGATAACTACAAATGAGGCTATAGACCATTTTTACCGCAGATATTCTGACTGTGAAAAAGGTTGAATATGAGAGGGGAGGCTTATTTTCTGCCTCTAAGCAATCTTTGACAAATGTGAGTATTTTTAACACCAATAGGTTAATAGTCTAATCAACTGTGCAATAAGAAGACATACTGATATTAATAAGACAAGGAATAGTCTGACTCTAATCTGTGTCTTTTTTTATGTATGTGTGCTGTCATAACTGTATAATAATTTGACTGATTGATTGATAAAATGGCATCAATTTTTACAGTAATTTACAATAATTATTATTTGACCACAATGCTTCGCCTATGCTTTTTCGTTATTTTAACGTTCTGATGAATGACCCTTGTACTAATGATGTCATGTAAATATAAATATTTCTACCCTTTAAACATAATATAAAAAAATATTTTTGCCTATATCTTGTTTCAAAGTTATTAGTTATCCATAAAATATTTTTAATATAAAATAAGTACAATGAAACACTCTTTCACCTACAAGTGAAAATTATATTACTATGTATGAGTATTAAAAGCAAAAATATTACTAGTAGTAGCTCAATTAGTAATTGATTAGTAAGTAAAAACTATATTATATTATATTTTTGTTGGAGCATTAACAATTTAGTATATTAATGTTGAAGATGGTTGAGGTTGTGGTAGATTTTCACTGAGCTATTGTATCTCATTGAAGAGTATAATGTAATATATCATATGATAGAGACTATATAGAGTCTTATTCCTAAAAATGAACTATCAGTGTCAAATTGTAAAGTATCTTAAAAAGCACAATATTTAACACTGACATATATTTTAGTTGAAGTGTAGGCTGAACACACACACACACACACACACACACACACACACACACACACACACAGACCTGTTGTTATGAAATATTATTGTGAGGATGTTGTGCAACCAGAACCTTTAAATAAGCCTCCACTGCAGCTGTGTTGTCAGTGACTCCATCCGGGTCCTGCGCTCTTCTACTTCCCGTCTTGATTTCATAAACTCGGGACGTAGCGAAGGTAAAGATGCATGATTGTTTGCTCACTTAACATTAAGCCATTCACCGTTTTTTGATTGCCATTAATGCAGCGGGGATTACAGCAGGTATTAACGAATTAACCCATGTGTTGTCGGTTAGATATTTGGATGCTACGTCGTGAATCCGATGCTTTTATTCTGACATTACAAGGTTAACCGCTAGCTCGCTAGCTTAGCTCAGCGCTAGGCTAGCAGTGGCTGTATGAGCATTGAGGTCAGTGTGTACTCTAAATATCACAGTGGAGCGAGCAAAGAAGAGTTGAGATGTATCCATAATCCTTCAATTTCTTCACAGGTGTGCAGACTTTTGAGTATTACAGCTGAAAGGTAGGATTAATAACACTGGCAGCACTCGCCTTCACCTTCGTTAGCTAACTCTCAGTACCTCTGACATAACAACATGGCATAATAAGGTTACACAAGATCTCTGTCAAAGCTGTTCCAGTGCTAAAACATATTTAATCCAAATATCCATTTGTCCCCACCATAAAAATGAAAGTTAATCTAGTGTTGGTTACCCTTCATCGTGCAGAAACTGAAGCAGTGTGTCTGCTTTCACTCAACTTGTTTTGATTCTGCTTTAATGGGTTGAAAGAGATGTTTGGTGGTTGTGACAAAGGTTGTTGTTACAGCCAATTACAGCACGACTCCTGGATTAAACACTGATGTGAATTCTCAGTTTGTAAAGACCAGTAATTGCATATAATAGTAATCTGATAAATCTGTAAGCTTCAGTTTTGCAAGAAAGATATTTGAATGTAGCTTTAATTCACTAGTGGCCATATCTGAGTGCTGGTACCAATACCAAGGTGATACCATATCCGACTGGACTTTTAAAGGTCAAGAACTACAAGGGAAACACATTTTAAGAGCGCTGTCTCAATTCATAATTTAAATGTGCAGTGTGTAACATTTAGGAGAATACATTGGTAGAAGTGGAATATGATATTCACATGTATGTTTTCATTAGAGTATAATCACCTGTAAATAAGAATTGTTGTGTTTTTGTTACTTTAGAAAGAGCTGTTTTTATTCTGGGGTCTGCCGTGTTGTACAGTAGCTCAGAACAGACAAACCAAACACTGGCTCTAGAGGGGGGTATTTCGAGAGTTTTGTGGCAGTCATAGTTTTTTCTTTATGCTCGGTTGAGTCAAATACCACACACCTCATTTTAAGTCATTTTTTTTAAAGCAAATTGAAAACATTCTCTGCTTCCAGACTCTCAAATGTGAGCATTTGCTGCTAATCTTTGTTTTATGACATTGTGAACTGAATACCTTTTGTGTTTCACCTTGGACATTTGTTTAGGTATTTTATGGATCATATGATCTGAAAAAATAATCAGCATATTAATCGATAATGAAAATAATCATTAGTTGCAACCTTAACAGTGATTGTCCTAAATTTCTTGTTAAACATAAAGAACCTAAACTAAATATTTGACTTGTCTCGGTCTCTCCTTCATGCAGTAAGCATGCTGTCCCTGACTCGAGCGGTGGTGAGTGGGGTGGCTCGTGTTCCAGCGGCTGTCAGCCAAGGTGGAGTGACTGCCATCACTCGCTTCAACAGCACAGCGCAGGTACCTGGCCTATATTTTATTAAAACTGAAAATGTATAATGGGATTAAACAATAGGGTTAACATTTTATGTGTATGTCTTATTTTCCCAGGGTGCTCCTAAGAAAACAACATTTGGACCTCTGGCAGATGAGGACCGAATTTTCACAAACCTTTATGGACGCCATGATTGGAGGTAACACCCCTCATGTTATTCTCATGTGCTCTGTAAAATCCAAAACATGATATTGATTTGATTGATCCTCTTACACAACAGAAAATAATGCGCTGATCAGTAAAAGTAAAAGAAACATTCCAGTTTTGCATGTTTTAAACCTGACAAGAATATTTGTTGGATTAAAACCACATCAATCATTTCTATAAAAACAGAAAACAATCCTCACCTGCTCATATTTGTGCTTCAGGCTGAAGGGGGCGCTGAAACGTGGCGACTGGTATAAAACTAAGGAGATCCTTTTGAAGGGAGTCGACTGGATCCTCAATGAGATCAAGGCTTCTGGTCTGCGTGGGAGAGGTGGAGCTGGATTCCCTACAGGAATGAAGTGGAGTTTCATGAACAAGCCCAGCGATGGCAGGTCAGTGAGGATATAGACAGATACACACATACTCTGTTTTTGCCTGATGTTCTCTCTTTTACCAGATTTTTAGGCAAAGATACAAATGTCTTGTAGAGTCTTAACTAGAAATTACAGCCACAATACTGAAGAGTGTCTGTCTTAGTTCATTTGCCCGAAAGTATTTGCACAGGTTTCTCAAAGTAATTTAAGATGTTTCGAGTGGTTGACGACTACTACTACTACTACTACTACTACTACTACTAATACTAACTACTTTAAAGTATTTATGGATGTTACTGGTAATGTATTTATTTTTCATTTAGAAGTAACCAATTCTAAGTTAAAGTTGATTTGCATTATTTTAATATCTATATTAATTTGCTTGATATTTTAATCAACTTATGTAAAAAAGCTGCAAGTTTATTTCTCATCGTTCATTCCTGTTTGCAATTCAAATTGACTGGTATAGCTGTAAAACAACTTGCTGGTGAAGTCTTTCTTGACAGTAGCTGGGTGTGTCTGCATTATTTTGACAGGTTAATCACATTTGTATGGATGCTTTTGACCAAATATCAATTTTGGCCAATTAAATTTAGACTGTTTGGACTGATCCACCGCAGTGGCTGCTCTGGGGGGTGACAATGAAATTTGTTCCATTTAACCCAGTTCTAATTTCTTGCCTTAGGCCAAAGTATCTGGTGGTGAATGCAGATGAGGGAGAACCTGGCACCTGTAAGGACAGAGAGATTATGAGGAATGACCCACACAAGCTGGTGGAGGGCTGCCTGGTCGCTGGGATGGCCATGGGGGCACGTGCTGCTTATATCTATATCAGAGGAGAGTTCTACAATGAGTCGTCCAACCTGCAGGTGAAAATAGACAGAATGAAACCTGAGTTATACAACTTTATCATGCTTGTACATTTTTTCAAGGATGTTCCAAATCAAGTTACGGATAAAGGAAAGGAACTAAAAAAAGATAACAAAGCAATATCATTTAATTTACACTATTAAATCTCTAATAACAAGCTTATGGGTTGAGTGTTTGCTGGAAGGATATCAGTTGAGAGAATTCTTGAGTTTGGACTTTGGGTGTTGAATGCAGGACAAGAACAAAACAGAGAAACATTTTTTTTAGTGTTGATACCTAGTTGCAAATAAGCTTTCACATACTGTCTAACTTGTG